TTTTACTATTAAGAACTAACATCAAAATGTGGAACCCCCCCCCCCCCAAACCCACCCACAGACTCTCAGTGATCTGGTGAGGTACTTTCGGAATACCTGTTCTATGCTTCCCCAAGCACATAATCAGCTTTTGTTGAGGTTAGTAGTTTTTCCTGGTGAAATGTATTTCTGGAGTCCTCTTTTTTACTATATAATGTGATTTTTTTAAGGATTGGATTGAATGAATAATATAATGGGTGATCATATTCCATTTCATTTGCCCTTTATCAACTTGTAGAAATATTAACTTCCTAAAACCATCCATTCAAATATAAAGATGATTAAGGCATGTCCGGTTTTAACATTCATTCGGTGATCATCAAGGTACGAATTGCAAGGGGGTGAAACGTTGCTGGGTGAAGACGAATTCGGGCATGACTCGAATTGGGTCAATGATCAAATAAGGTCTTGTTTAGAGTTTTGGAGAGGTGATCGTGAAGCCAGTTGTGCTCCAATGGAGGAGCGTTGGAAATGCAAGAGCTGCAGCTTTGCTTCTGTTTGTCCTGCTTCTTCTTCTTCTTCTCCAACTTCCTAGCCATGGGAGCAGAAGGAATAAAAGAAGAACACTTTCTTCAAATAATGATCTGCAGAATCCAACGAATTTATACGGCTTGGGAACTCGGGTCTTTCTTCTCGAGAAAGAGCACCAATTTCATATCCATGAAGCAGAAAATTCTTTGTTGTAACTTATAAATTCATATGAATTAGATCTTTCTGCTGGTTGTATTGATGATTAGTCTGCAAAAAAACCTCAGTCCAATTGTAGCTTTTCATGCATTTATTTATTTGAGAAATGAAGTCAGTTCATGTAAAAGTCATTTTGATTCCCATAATTTTGATTAAGTCATAAATAATCCTTGACCAAGCCCAAGATTAGAGAATCAAGGAGACAATTGAAGTTTACACCAAAAAAAGAGTTCATCAAAGGTAAATTAACAATCTTTTCTTAAGCATTTGATCATTCTTTAGTATGGTCATGTATACCAACACTTAAGCCTAGTTTGGATATAGGTTGTTTGTGTGGCTTGGTTTGAACGGCTGGTTGATTTTGATGTTTTGACCGACTAATTCTATTGGTTACTCATAAAAAATATTTGACAAATTTGTTTGTTCATAATCATATTTAGGTATTGCATGTGAAATTACAATTAAGGACATTTCCATTTATGTAAAATAGACCAATAAATAAAAATTATTATTATCGAGGGACTGAGATAAAAAAAAACTATAATCCATTGTGAGATGGGGAGTATACTTATTACATACAAATGCATTACTTTATTACATATGGAAGAAAAAGGCGAAAATTGTTCTTGGATTTTCCAAGGAAATTTGTAAAAAAAAAATTGAGGGTGGGAGGTTATTTGTGTAGAATTTAGACCTAGTTTGAGAACATTTTCGATTAATGTTACCATTTAAATTAAAATATTAATGACAAATTAATTCTAAAGACACTACCGTCAAATAACATTTTAAAAATGCCAACGCTAATCTCAAACGTTATGCCAAACATGACTTTAGTCGAAAGGCCAAACCCAAAAGCTGCTTCGCATGGCGTTTCAGTTTTAGCTGTTTGTTATCAAACAACTACAGAAAACTGCTCCTGAGTACCCCATATTTTGAGAAACTAACTGCCAGGTACCTCACATTTTCAGAATATACTCCGAGGTACCTTCTATTTTGAGAAACTAACTATCGGGTACCTCACATTTTTAAAATATACTCCGAGGTACCCTCTATTTTGAAAAACTAACTATCGGGTACCTCACATTTTTAAAATATATTCCAGGATATCTCCAAGTATACATTAATTTTACGCCATTAATTTTAAGAAATAGCTTAGGGGTTTGGAATTTTAAAAGTAACCAAGATCTTTTAAAATTGAGTACTCAATTTTCTTCAAATTAAAAAGATCTTGGTTTTTTTTAAAATTCCAAACCCCTATTTTTTAAAATTAATGGCGTAAAATTAATGTATACTTGGAGGTATCGTGGAGTATATTTTAAAAATGTGAGGTACCCGATAGTTAGTTTCTCAAAATAGAGGGTACCTCGGAGTATATTTTAAAAATGTGAGGTACCCGATAGTCAGTTTCTCAAAATAGAAAGTACCTCGGAATATATTTTGAAAATATGAGGTACCCGGCAGTTAGTTTCTCGAAATATGGGGTACCCAAGAGCAGTTTTCTGAAACAACTACGCAAAGTAGCCAACTTCCAAACACCAATTCTGGCTGACTCTATACAATCAAAAGGAAGCCATCAACCAAAACTTAGTGTAATAGAGTACTCCAAAAATAAAATCATTGACAAGGGAGTTTTTTTTTACGACCACCGGAATTAATTTTAATCATTACTTTGTACAATCGATTCACCACGTTTTTTCTTCTTATTTGGTAGGGATGCACTGATCCTTAGCGACCGCATAAGAAAACTTAGAAAAATGATAAGTATGTCACATGCTTCCTAAATCCAGTGTTTCATGACCGACATATTAAGTCATAGGTGACAGTTTCAAAATCTGCATGGATACTTAATCGCCTTTAAAATGCAAAATCAAAATGTTCAAGTCATTTTGGACGCTAAAAAAAGTTCAATTTCTCACACGGAATTCAAACAGTTGGTACAAAAGTCACCCTCAACACACAAAACTAAGATGTAGTCTTACAAAGTTTATAAAAGTTGAATGGAAAGATACTCACTGATCACTTCTTCTTCTGGGCAGCCTTGGTCACCTTGGCGCCGGTTGGATCCTTCTTCTCATGTGAGAATTAGTGTGGTTGACGTTGACAAACGGAGTACAGGGAGTGTCGTTTTGCTGGGTCGCCACCCATGAGTCTCTTCCAGAGTTGCTGGTACCCGAACCAGCCTTGGTAGAACTGCTTTGGTCGTAGAGGTAAGAACTCCTTGAACCCAAGGAAGAGTTCGAGGAAAGGTCTAGCAGACAGTTGGAACCATTGGTACTCGGCAAACTTGACTGCTATGTGAGAAGTGTGGCAGTCGAGAACCGGGGCATACCCGTTCCCAATCTGGCCAGGGTGGTTCATGATGATCACCTGAGAAGTGAAGTTGGCAGCTTCCTTGGCCGGGTCATTCTTAGAGTCAGATGCAACATATCCACGCTTGAGATCCTTGACAGCAACATTCTTCACATTGAATCCCACATTGTCTCCGGGAAGAGCCTCTGTTAGTGCCTCATGATGCATCTCAACAGACTTGACTTCTGTTGTCAAACCAGTGGGTGCAAATGTAACAAGCATACCCGGCTTCAGAACCCCAGTCTCCACACGTCCAACAGGCACAGTACCAATTCCACCAATCTTGTAGACATCCTGTAGCGGCAGGCGGAGTGGCTTGTCAGATGGCCTCTTTGGCTCGTTGACCTGGTCAAGAGCCTCAAGAAGGGTGGGTCCCTTGTACCAGTCAAGGTTGGTTGACCTCTCAATCATGTTGTCACCCTCAAACCCAGAGATGGGCACAAAGGGAATTTTATCAGGGTTGTATCCAACCTTCTTCAGGTAGGAAGACACTTCCTTCACAATTTCCTCATACCTTCCCTTGGAGTATTTGGGAGTTGTGGCATCCATCTGCAGATACAACCAAAGTAGATGACAGGAGTTAGCATATACGCTATACCATCAAAGAAGAGCAACAAATTATGATACTTATGTGAATCTAAGAATTATGCATGCTCTACTGATATTGTTGCCAATGATAAAAAAATTGAACAAAAACAAGACTGGAATTGAGATAGCAAGAAAATAGACCTTGTTGCAGCAGCAAATCATTTGCTTGACACCAAGGGTGAAAGCAAGCAAAGCATGTTCACGAGTTTGCCCGTCCTTGGAGATACCAGCCTCAAACCCACCAGTGGTAGAGTCAATGATCAAAACAGCACAGTCAGCCTGTGAGGTTCCTGTAATCATGTTCTTGATGAAGTCACGATGTCCGGGGGCATCAATGACTGTGCAGTAGTACTTGGTGGTCTCAAATTTCCAGAGGGCAATATCAATGGTGATACCACGCTCACGCTCTGCCTTGAGCTTGTCAAGAACCCAGGCATACTTGAATGACCTCTTGTTCATCTCAGCAGCTTCCTTCTCAAACCTCTCAATCACACGCTTGTCAATCCCTCCAAGCTTGTAGATCAAGTGACCAGTTGTGGTCGACTTACCAGAGTCGACATGGCCAATGACCACGATGTTGATGTGAGTCTTCTCCTTGCCCATTCTCAACTTCTAGTCAAAACTGCAGCATTGTGTATGACGCATCAAGTGTTTATTTTCACTGCGTGCAATACAAATATGCTATAGATGATAGATATAGTACATCACATAAACTTAGATGACATGATTAAGTTAAATCAATCATTTTCATGAACAGATCAAATAAGTAAAAAATAGAAGCATAGACAAAAAAGCCACTGTACAGCATCTACACGGGCAAATTAGATAACTAAAAATTCGACAGAAAAAGACAATCAGATAGATTCAGAATAGAAAAGCTTCAATTTTCTAAAGTCAAATGAGATTAAAATTTTAGAAATGATAATCTACGTGGTACATACATGAACAACCCTGTCAAAATCAAATTAGACCCAAACCACGAATCCAAACGAATACGAACACATATAGATCAAAATTTACAGATTCTAAATTCTAATCATTCATATATGAGACCAGAACATCAAATAATCAGAAATAATATGATCATCATATGTAAACACAGATCAGTGCAAGAAAACAGATCTATACACGTTCGATGACCAAACCACGCATAGATTGCAAAAAAATAATGAGGAAATGGAAGCAGGGGAAGATGGGAAATGCAAAGACTGACCTCGTGATAATGAAGAATGCTGGCGAGCGCAGGAGAGAAGAGAAAGTGAGAGAATTGTCGACCTTATAAATGGAGCATGAGCTGGGTGCGGGGGATAGGGTTTTCGTAGGCCGTTGGATTGAATGACACGGTCCAGATATGCAATCGTCGTTTTTTGATGCCCTAGCAATGTCCTAAATTGCTGAACGCTCCTTGTAGTTGTGACTATTTCCTAAGGAACACTTTTTTATTTGCTAAAAGATGGGATGGTAAATGTTACTCCTTCTGTCCCATTTTATATTGTCGGTTTGTCTTTTTTCTCCATTCCAAAATAAATTGTCTGTTACTTGTTTTCGTAAACTTTTAAGAGTAAAATATCTAAATTACCCCTAAAATTAGTCACTCTTCATCACTTTATCTTCTTATTCATTGCCAATCCTTCTAAAAAAAATAATGGCAATTTCAAAAAATAAACTCTATTTTTTTATTTTCCTTAAATATGCCCAAAAATCTAAACGGACGATTTAAAACGGGACGGAGAGAGTATTTTAACAAGGAATAGTGTTTTAGCTCTCCAATTTTTTACAACCTCTACAACAATAATGCATTCTCTTCGTTTCTATTTTGACTGTTAGGAGAAATTTGGAATGTATATTTGTAACTGACTTTTCAATTTTGTTCTTGATGTGATAGATATAAATATGATGTGATAGATAGATTATTAGTAAAAAAGTATGATTTAATAGGTATGGTAAAAAAGGTATGGGCAATTATGATTTTTTAGGACAGGTGGAGTATTAAAAAAGAAATAGGACGAAATGTGGATCCATATCCTTGAATGAGAATGAAATGAGAAAGCTGGTATGGCGCTGAGTTAAAAGTGTGACCTAAGAGGTAAGCTTGGACATGGTTTCGGTTCGGCATTGGTATCGAAACCATCGATTTTTAAACCGTACTAGAAATTTAGAATTGATGTTGGTGAGGAATGAGGTAGGGCTACTGTGCACGAATGGAAATGGAGGTGATGAACATGATTTTGGATCCTAATAATAAGACACCAGATCAAGAATTTTGATATTGATATTGGTTTTATTTTTTTTTGTTATACAATTATCATTATCATATACTCTGTATTAATATACATTTTACAAATAGTTTATATTTAATTTGAATTTAAAATATTCATATTTGGAGTATATATTTTTTTACAATAAAGATAAACTATCATAAAAATAAAAAGAGTATTATGAATCTATTCGAGAACTGTTTGGGAATCTCACCAAATCGTGTGTCACCGATACCACACCAATTTCACCCAAAATGGTATTGGATACTCGCGTTTTTGGACTATACAACGTATGAAGTAGTTACTTCTTATTTTCATGGTGGTATTCTCTCTTTTCTCGATTTTTAAAACCAAACTAATTACCAGACATGTCATGGCATAGATTCAAAAGTTAACATGCCAAATATGCGATTCAGACAATTGAATCAATCGTTCAAATATAGTTTTTTTTATAGAGAAGATCTATTATGATGCTAAGGTCTACATGGATTTTCTCACATTTTTTATTTTAAAAATGCTTATTTTAACATTTGGGTCGCGTTGAATACATTCTCACTATCAATTTTGGTATTAAAACAACCAAAGTCCCGTTACAGATAGTGAAACATGTTATAAGCATAGTGAGGTAGTTCTCCCTTTTTTATAATTATTGGTGATTTTAGGGTATCAATTATTTATGTAATTGTGATTTACTTAGAATGAAATATAGTTTTAATAGACGTTGCCTTTGGATTTTCGTAAATTGAGTTCAAAATAATGAACATTCAAATCAACAAGTCAATACAATCAAATGTTGTGTTTATCCAGCACATTTTCTGGAAACTGCTCGATATATTCGAATGTTTGAACCTAAATATTTGAAGGTTTCAAGATAAGTTGCAACGGTTCACACTTACCTGCAGAAGTAACTATTCAACCCAACCCACCAGTAAACATTTGAATGTTGGAGAACCAACATCTGAATGTTACCCAAAGGTGATTATTTCATCAATCGACGCATCCATTCGGAATTTATCTATAAATATGGCACCTTGATATGTTTCGAGATACAACCGAAAATTTCATACTCGTTCTAGATTACTTACTTCTTAGTGAAATTTGCAATACATAGGACTAAAACATAAGTCATTTTTCAATGTATGACTTAAACTTTTTTATTCTCTAAACAGGACTTAATAATGTCTAGTGGGAAGAATAATGTCCAATAATGATAGACATTTACCTGAATAATGACTAATTGATAATGACCAAAAGTCTTACATTGGAAAATAAAAACATATGATCCTATATTGGGAAAGTAATTATGTTTTAATCCTATTTAGATAAATTTCTCTACTTCTTATTTAGTTGAAATATTATGGTATACACCAAAATAACTTTAATCTAAAAGTGTTTGTACATGATTCACTAAGTCTATCAAGTCGTTCTTCACGTTCTTCGTCTACTGATTCCATAACGTTGCTTCGTAGCATTGTTGTTCCTCCCATCTCCCCAACAATAACATGTGTAGTTAAAAATTCACAAATTAAAAAAAAGAAAATAAACTATTGATATTGATACGAAAGGATGTCAATAATAATAATAATAATAATAATAATAACAATAATAATAATAATAATAATAATAATAAATATAGTAGTTTTTAGAATCGAACTGGTGATCGAACCGATCCAGGTAATGGTTCACTAGTCGAACCAGTGGTTCAATTAGTCGGACGAGTGATTTAAACATTTTTTTAAATTACACACACACATACATATTACGTACTCCCTCCGTTTGCAAAAAGACTTCTCATTTGGATTTGGGGGCAAAAACAAGGAAGTGTTAAATTATAGTTGATTTCCAAATTTGCCCCTGATGTGATGGGTAAAAGTAAGATGTGATGGATAGATTATTAGAGAAAAAGTATGATGTGATGTAGGTATTAAAAGAGTAAGGGTAAAGTGGTTTTTTAATAGAAAGAGGAAGTGTTTTGTTGGAATTGGAAAAATGAATGAGGAAGTGTTTTTGAGAATGGAAGGAGTATGAGTTAAAAAATAAAACAAAATACGACTGGAAACAAAAAGTCTGACGTACAAACAAATAATAAGAGAAAAAGATTTAAATTTAAAACATACAAGTTTGACTTAATTGAAAGAGATCAAAATCAAATTCAAGTTTTTTTCACTTTTAAACTTTTTTCACTTCATCTATCTTTTCCTAATTTTTTTCGTTCCTTCTGATTTTTCAAATGCTTGTAGTGTTTCTATTCAGTGAGATTTGAAAAAATGATATGATGTGAATTTTGAAATATGAAAAAAATGAAATGAATTCCGAAACTTGGAATGAAGTTGTTTTGAGTAATACTCCATAAAATCACCATTTTATTAGTAATTGGCGGGGGTCATTGATAACGGATTAACGGAGGTGGTCGACGGTGTCAGGGATGGTCGACGCTCAAGGGAGATTCCAAATTCCCACATTGATATCTCATTTGATATCTATGAAGCTATCAAATTAGAAAAATTAAGGAAAATCCTTGGTTCACAAACACTTTTGTTACAAAATTCACAAACTTACTATTTGTGAACTTCAATAAAAAGAATTAAATAGTCTAAAAGAATTTTCAAATAGGAATTCAAACCATAAATAGTAAGTTTGTGAAGTTTATAATCAGTAATAAATAGAGCATTACTCGAAAATGATACCTGTAAATATTAAATTCAATTTTTTTATGTCTAGATAAAAAAAAATAGGCATAGTACGATATGGAAACTCATCTACTAGGCTCACCAAACCCGCCTTTAACCGTTTCTTCCAAGAGAATAGCCGGTCTTTTTGTCATATCCGGCTCCGGCGGATATTCTTTTTGGGCGCCGAGGCGGAGGGGCCAGGGCAATCTTATAAAATCCAAGTTTTTCCGCCCATATTCACAGAAATTCGATAAATCATCGGGAGGGAGAGGGGTATTGGGGAAATCTGTGAAAACTGAGAGATCGATCGATCGATCAAGAAGGGGGGAGTCCCACAGCAGACGGCCTCCTCCATCCGTTTCCGAATCAACACACGATTGTTCATACTCGATCAGGTATACATATCGTTTTCACGTGCTCTTTCTCTCCATCTTCAAACTGAGAAATTATTTAAGCTTTCTTAGATTTTGAACTTTATTCATGTAATTTGTGAAACTATGAACATTTAATCTATTGACTATGTGAAACTACGAGGTTTCATCTAGAAATATAAACATTAGTTGCACTTCCAGCACATGTGGGTTTCTAAGCATTCTTGGTAATTATTAGCTCTATTTAGAAAAAAAACTGAAATCCTGCTGTTAAAATCTGTGCAGAGGAGAGAAATAATATGTGACACACAATCCATTCCTTGAAAAGAATGTGAACTTTATGGTGAGACGTACAAAAAGACGAAAGTCGGAACTTAAAAGTTGGACAAAGGGAGTATGATTTTGCATTGGAAAATGTTCAAGTAGTTTTTTTTGGTAACTTATAAATACCAATTGGCATTTCCTATTTTTGCAGTCTAGTTATGCCGGAACAGCACACGGGCAATAGACCTTCTGCCAGTGGGCATTCATCTGCTGGAAGTGATTATAAAATTGATTTGAATAAGTTTAGTAGTCGGCTTAAGGCACTATATGCACATTGGAATGAATATAGAGATGGTATTTGGGGTTGTTCTAATGTTCTAGCTATAGCAACACCTGATGACTCGAGGTACTTGAAATCTTCTGCCATGAGTATTTGGTTGCTTGGACACGAGTTCCCAGAAACAATTATGGTTTTCGGAGAAAAGAGGATCTATTTCTTATGTAGCCAAAAGATAGCATCCTTGCTTGAAGCTGTGACAAAAACTGCTCAAGGCGTTGTCGGTGTTGATATTGTCATGCATGTGAAATCCAAAAGTGAGGATGGTACTACACAGATGGATGCTATTTTCAATTCTATCCGTACACAAATGAAGTCACCTGTGGTTGGGTACATCACAAAAGAGGCCCCTGAAGGTAAACTCCTTGAGACGTGGGATGATAAGTTAAAGAATTCTGGGCTGCAGCTTGGTGATATAACACATGGAATATCTGACATCTTAGCTTTGAAAGACCATAACGAGATAACATATGTGAGGGAAG